CGGCGTACTAATATCACCCAATTCGAGGGTTGCAAGAAATGCAGGGTCTATGAGAGTTTTGAGAGTTTGATTTGCTTCCTCCAGACATGCAATTTCTGCTTTACGATCTCCAAGCATTCCACGGAGACGTCCAATTTGGCATGCGACTGTGACCGAACTTTTGCCCTTGGTCCCATCTTTATAGAACTTTTCTGCGTCTGTAAGGTAATTGGTGCCCTTGTCTAGGTTTCCAGCTTTAGTCCAGATGTTTCCAAGTGTGGCCAAAGCTATTGCAGACTGCCCATCAAAATTGAATGATTTAATGAGTTCGTGAGCTTGCTCTCCATAATGTAACGTCTCTTGAAATAGCCCATGATGAGCGTACAGATTTGATAAATGAATCAACCCATGGAAAAGAGGAGCGACCAATGGCCAAAATCCAATTCCTGATGGGCTGTCCTGCGGCTGGGGTTGACCCGCTATTTTGTTTGTAGAAATATCCAGTTGGGAGAGCCCATCAACTACTTTCTCCGCATCGTCTCTGGGTACAGCCGCCAGTTTCTTTTTCCGAAGTATTGCTTCGGTGGTAGCCCATGCGCGCCTGAGTAGTCTGACGCTCTGTTTAGCATGGACAAGAGCAGATTCTGAGCCTCCCTGTTCAATGGCAAGCATCGATCGAATCAAAGAAGCTTTTGCAACAACACAATTCAGTCGAGTCTTTTCTTGAAGACTGAGAGGCGATTTATCTTCTTCTAATTCCTTTCGTTCCAGAATAAAAGCTCCTTCAGCACACTCTAGATGAAATTGGCTATCATATGTCAGTGGGTTCTGGAGGATAAAATTTGTGGACTTACCATTTTTCAAGGTTTCCAAGTGCTAACATGTATTGTGAGTGTGCAATGTGAAGATCTGTTTTGGCGCCAAGATTGCTACGCAAGCTAAAACTTTGCGCCTTGTCCAATGCTAATCCAGCTTTTCCAGAATATCCAAGTTGAAGCCACGAGAGGCCCAAGGCACTGTAAGTTGACACAATGTCGTTATGACCAGATACTTCACAGTAGAGTTCATTGTAATCAGCGATAAGGCGAAGAATGACAAGCTTGTCAGTTTCTAGACCTCGCATTTCCATGAAGTTGGCAAGTGACTGTAAGTGAAGCAAGAGCTGCGGGATATTCTCAATGCGAAGCTGCAAAGCAGTGAGATTTTCAGCTTCAGAACGAATGGTTCGCCAGTTCACGATGCAGTTCTTCAGATTTTTGATGCAAATTTCATCTTTCTGAAGTTCCATTATACTTACTGCCATAGCCACCCAATGTCTCAAGTAGCCTGCTAAACCAGAATCCTTGGTAGTGTCAATATCGATAGACTTGCTCATAAGAGCCGTGAGTGTCTCAACCATATAACCGTCTTGTTGTTCATTGTGCGAATGTTGAAATATGGTCATTGCCCTCAGCCTGCGCACGGGGTATTGATTCAAGTCGTACAAGGAAACTAGGTGCTCAAACACCTTGCTTTTTAAGTCCATGACAACAGAAGTGGGATTAGCGAGGCCGGTCAAGATATCCAACTCATGTTCAAGAACAGCCCCCTTTTGCTCATCCGTCCAAGAGAGACCGAAAAGCCAAGGTTCGGGAGAAATTTCTGGGTGACTGAGATAAACCTTTACTAGAGACTGTATAGTCCGAGCGAGAACTTGCGCATCGTCACTACACTCCCAAGCTTTGCGAATAGATAGAATTTTGGCGTTTTCGACCACCTTACACAAAACACCATTTTCTACCGTCTCATCTCGTAGCATAACAAGGGCTTTGAAAAGTTCGTCAAATCGACCCTTGCTTTTGGAAAGATCCGCCATTCGTTCCAGTTTCATAGACATAAGGCCAGCGTTCCGGTCCGGTAAAGGCCTTGATTTAAGACAGTCAATTGACCTTCGGAGAACTACTCGTGTCTGTGGAGTTCCTTTGCCAGCATCGTTATTACGTCGTAAGTCAAGAAAATACATGAAGTAAAGGTTAGAAATCTTGATATAGCACTGTGTCGCATTGAAGTTCTCATCTTCCATAGAACCCTGTTCTAGCCGGTCGAGCAATGCAAGACAATCTTGCAGTAAGGAATCTATCCGTTCCCATACTGGTGCCTCTTGTTTCAGAAGCAATTTGATCAAGAATAATGCAGAATCAATTGCATGGACGGAGGGCTTGGTGATAAATTTCCTGCGTTGTTCGAATCGCATAACATCCTTGCTTGAGGTATTTTCATCCGGTTTCTTACCAATATAGCGAAGTGATAGTCGAGGGCATAAGGAGACGAGGGTTTCACACATTTGACGGACTTCGGGCGATAGAGCGTTTGTATTGGATGACAACTCAGACACAGGGTTCGAAATCGCAATGATAGCAGCTCTCCTTGCCGAAGAGACTTCTGTCAATAATTCATCGATTTCAGATGCCTCCCCCTTAAATGGTTGCTCTAGCACATCCAACAGCTCGATCAATAAATTTTCTGTTTGCTCGCGTTGAGAACCCCGCAGAGTGAGAGAAACTAAACGAGCTGTGAGAGCACTGTGCCTAGCATTGGAGTCGGCTTTAGAATCAAGAAGATTTCTGACCATTCCAACCCATTCAATAGCTTCATCAATAACATTAGCTTCTTTAGAAAGGGATCCTAGTATACGGTATATTCCAATCAAGGCAGGTGCCGACTTAAGCCCGTCGGTTTCGTATTTCAATGATGACTTTTTGAGATGCGAAAATGCGTTAGAGCATTTTGTATATACCTTATCAGCCTCATTTTGACTTCGGCGGGCAAACGCTTGAACACATCTAAGGAAAGGATCAAAGACATCCTTTTCAACATCTCCTTTATGATTTGCAAGTTTCCACCATGATAAGCGTACATCGAGAGCTAAAGCTTGTAATATGAATGCCGCCTGTGGTGTTATGCTGACTTTACAGTCCACAGCGGTGGCATCTTCTGAGGACGAGACGCTTGGACTCATAGATAGAAGCATGTCCGACAGAGTTTGAAGTTGACGGGCAGACTTGTTCACTTGCGTTGAATCTTCGGCGGCTTTCAAAAGGAGTTTTACAGGCGAGGAGGCATGTCCGGGTCGTAGAAATGGCATCGCGGCTTCAATGGACTTAGGTTTCCGGGAGGCAATCATAAGCCTTAGTGCCTGTAACTGAGTTGTAATCACCAGACCTAATTTCGCACCCGTTGTTGAGATCTCCCCAAAATCCAAAAGTTCAGCCAAAGTTTGTGGTGTTGAAGCGGAAGCTGCATCTTTGGTTACTGGCGCACTCTTCCCTTCAGTTTCCACGTCCAACCGTCGTTTCAAGATCCTAAGCTCTTTAGTTGCCAAATCCTCTAAACCAAGTGCCAGCAATTTTCCAACCAGAACAGACATTCCGTTTTCGAGCTGTAGAGGTGGCATAGTAAGGCCTGTTATGTTCGCAGCTTGGATTCCTCGTAAACACAGAAAGGCAGCCCTGGCGCATTCCGCAACCGATCGAACTCCGGGAGAGCATGCTGATGTTGACGATGCGGATCCATCTCGAGTTTTTGAAATGTTGGGCGAACTAGAAACTCGATTTAAAGCCCGTGGCTGTAATGGTGCTTGAGGAACTGAACTTGATCTTCTAAGCCCTTTGCGAGCTGCTGCTTTCTCCTTGGTAGTTGGAGCTTTCCGGGGCTGAGATGGTACCTTGATCGCTTCTGTTAAAACTTTTAATGTATTGTTTACAACTTCAGTAGCCAGTGTGAATTTTTCTTTTGCAGACAACAATTCTACATTATCGTCTGCGTTCGCATTTTCCTTATCCGCCTCGTTGACTTTAGACCGCGACGTAGGAGCTCGAATTGTGCTTTTTTTTGTGGGTTTCGCAGTCGCTTTAGCTATTGGTTTTGAGGATCCAGAAGTACTTGGGGTTGTAGTCGCCTTAGAAGATAATAAGTCACTGAGTAGAGTGACTGTTGCTGGAGTACATGTTGTTGTCGAAGATATAGCGGCGCGCACAGCATCCGCGGATTGCTGTGATGAATTCATTACAATAGAAATTCTGTCAAGAAAGAAACAGTATTATTGGTACTTAGACATTATTCCAAAAAGGTAAAAGAAAAACAATTGATGTCGTCTTCGAGTGATGTAAAGAATCATCAATCTCCATAATCGAAAAACGGATGTCCCCTGTTGACTTTGTTTCCGAGGCAACCACAGACCTAAAACTTTCGGCTCATCCTAAAGCCCTACGGAAATTCAATTTTTACAACTTCAATACTGTTCCCCTACCTATTTACATCTTGACAACAATATTCAACCCGTTTACAATGAACAAATCAACGATGATTAAAAGGCTGATTTCTGCGCCACCCGCTATCAGAAGCACAGTTCTTCAACAACGATTATTCTTCCCTCAGTCTCGCCAATATGCCGTTCAAAGCGTCACTCAGGCTTCGTTCTGGGCGAATCTGATTCCTAAACCATTTCGAAAAAGCGAACGAGCTGTAAGCAAAAAGCCGAAATCTAAAGATTGGAATCCTGCGACTTTTTTCATATGGATCTTCCTTCTGATTGGATCCATGTCAATTCAGATGATAGCCTTAAGAAATGAATACACAACTTTCAGTCGCCGCGCTGATGCCAAAATTGGAGTATTGAAAGAAATTATTCAGAGAATAAGAAATGGAGAAAAGCCTGACGTTGAAGCACTTCTCGGAGTTGGAGATCGAGAGCAAGAACGGGAATGGGAAGAAGGTATATATGTTATTCATGATTAAATTCTTGGGGTATGATTCTAATATGTCTGGATAAAGTCTTACAGGAGATCGAACGAGAAGATGCAGCGTTACAACAATCTACCGCAGTGAAATCTAAACCAGAGAATGTTGACGTTCCAGAGACCAAAAAGAAGGCTCCCGAAAACGCGAAGAACAAGAGCAATGTGCCCTCGGGATTCTATTGAGAAAATTTATGTACAAAAAATGGTCTACTATACAAGATTACAAGATTGATGGATGTATTTCTACGATAGCATGTCCTTGAACATACCGCTATTTTTCTGTCGTGCTTCGTAAGGAGTTTGAACGTCGTCTTTTCTAGACGTGAAGCCGATCCGATTTAATTGATCAACAAGTGCAGGTAGAACTACATCAGTTCCTAGTTCGGCCCGTACACCGAATTCCCCAGTTTGGCCACTAGAGAGATTCTTAAAGAATGCCTCCTCACCTCTGACCCCGCCCAGATTCAAAATTGCGATAGGCATATTCCTCTCTTGAGCACGTCGTGCTAATCTCCAGGCAGAGTATGTGGCAAGCGAAGTTCCCAGCACTAACAGCCTACCGGAATCATCAATTGCTTGTTCAGCGGCTTCCTTTACTTGCGCATTAATACTCTCCCCAAACATGACCACAGCGGGTTTCAATATACCCGCTGTACTCGTTGCTTTCCAAGCTCCCTCTTCGTCAACTTCCACAATCGATTGCGATCCATCTTTTAAGATTGGAGGATTTTCAAGACAATGAGGGCACGGCGGATATCTGAAGGTGTCATATGGTGCTCCGGGTACGTCAACATCTCCGTCAGGATTTGCCTTCATGCCTTTTGCTCGTCGGTCTTCTGGGTCCTCCGTAGTTAAAGCTCCAGATTCAAGTATTTCAGCCAAAAATGCAGCCCATGCTGGATTCAATCTTGATAAAGATTCTTGGAAAACATCTCTAGGTAAGTCTTTTCGGCAGGTGACGCATGTCAAAGCTCGAAGATATCCATGAAGTTCAACAGTTGCCAAATTTGGATGTGCCTCCGAGTGAAATGAATCAACGTTTTGTGTGACCACCCGCTTTACAATGTTCATATCGGCAAGGTCTTTAATAGCATAGTGGGCGGGGTTCGGCTTGGCTTTGTGTAAATTCGTCCATCCTAAGAAACTCCTCGCCCAGTACCTTCGACGTGCCTGGTCGCTCGCAATGAATTCATGATAGTAAACAGGTCGATATGATTTATTCAACACGTATGTGCCTTTCGAACCTCGACTATTGGGGATGGAAGGTTAGCAATCGTCCACGCAATGTGAGCTTGGCACTGGATGATATATAGAGTCCCGGATGGTTAATATGCAATATCATATATACCCTGTTCGCTAAGCAAGAAGCCCCTCAGTAGATGATTCACCTCTTCTTGCAGCAGATGAAACAACGACCTATGGGTATGAAAGATCCAATGTACTCACTAATCTGCCAATCCCGAAGCCACAGAGATGCCGGCTCCTGACAAAATTACTGTTGATTGTGGGTCTTTGACTCCATCCGGAAGGTTATGTGAAGGCGGGGCAGTGAGGAATTTCGACAGAGCGTGAATCGCCCCCGGTAATGAGTTTGCGCTTCGTGGTAGGATTGATGGAGGGGGCAGTGGACCCGTATAGGGTATTCTCATAAGAGGTTTTCGCATTGGATGATCATGGATCTGGCATTCAGCATTTAGACACGCGCTCGAGGATACAAAAGGTTGTAGATAGAATGAATGAGTTGAGATTCAAAATATACTAACGTCATGATTAGTTTGGTGGCGGATCAGGCTATGATATAGTGGCTTAGTCAATGCAAGGCTATCATCTGTCTACCTATCCACCGGTATCTTCGTATCTATCCACGAGGTATCCATTCTTAGGTAGTCTAATCGTCGCTTTTTCCGCTGAGCACAACGAATAGCCAAACTCGCATATCTAGCGAGTGGGCATACGACTACAGTACATACTGTCTTCAAGCTCGGAATATTAAGTCGGGTATGCAAAGGATGATATTCGGCTGAAGTAACCACTGTCTCCAACTGTATACAGGACCTAGCTAGGTATTTGTATGAATGCCGGTAGAAAGGATTCCCGGTCCAAACCTCCCAAAGTCTCATACGTACTCTGTACATACAAGTAGCTCCCATTTTATATCACGGATGTGGAGATACACATTCGACAGTGACATTCCCTAGATGCAATTCATCCAAAGGCCACGCAAGGGCCAAGATATATGTTTATATAGAGTGACATCTTCACCCTGTAAGTTTCATCTGATTTCCAAAGCATCCCTAGGTCTTCAAATGGCTTTTCGATGACTGGCTACCGTCTCGTCCAAAAACGGTTCATCCCCAGGGAATCGTCGTCATTTGGGAAGGTTGGCTTGCGAATTCATTTATGCAATTCGATATTAACCTTACGAAAGCCTCGCTGTACTCGTAGAAATTTACTCCACACTCCATCTAACGTTTGCTAATTCCTTTCTAATTCTTCACTAAGCAATAATGCCATTTCCACTTTAAGCTTACAATATAATTTTTCCCCTTACGCTCCGTACAAAGTACATCCATCGACCCTTAACGTGGTCCATAACACTCCTTGTAAAAGCACATAGTACTTTTAATGAACGCCTAGAAAGGGTGTACACGAAAAGGATATTGTCCGGGTAGAATACATTTCTTATTTTATGGTTAACTCCAAAAATAAATTATTTATGTCCATGCCTCTTCATTGCTTCTCCCATGGACGCTTTTCGTTAAGGCCTGTCGTCACACTGGGGTTTAAGTCGAACATAAGGACACCTCAATATCAAATTGCCCGAGTATTGCAGACTGCCGCTTTCGATTCCACTTTACTCAATTATAGTACTAAAGCTTACAACATTCCTCTTAAATCCTTCCCAAGACTTCAATCATTATCCGATAACTTCAATCCAAGACTACTCAATTCAATGACCGCTCTCACAACTACTCAAACGCGTTCACACGCGGGCCACTCTCATCATCACCATCATGATAATACATACCTCACCTCTACGAATAAGAACGATGCCGGTGTGCGGATTACTCGGATTGGACTTTATTCGAACTTGGGCATGGCGGTTGCCAAAGGAGTAGGAGGATACATGTTCAACTCTCAAGCTATGTTGGCAGATGCCTGGCACAGTGTCACCGATCTTGCCAGTGATATCCTTACATTGGCGACAGTTTCCTGGAGTCTCAAACCTCCAACCGAACTCTTTCCAACAGGTTTTGGAAAGGTTGAAAGCTTAGGATCATTGGGTGTTAGTGGCATGCTTCTTTTCGGAGGGATGTTTATGTGCTTGAATAGTTCTGAGATCCTGTATGCACATTTCTTCTTAGATGCCCATGCGGCCGCAGAAGCTGCCGCACATGCACATGGACATAGTCATAGCCATGGGCCATTACTACCTAGTTTACACGCTGCTTGGCTAGCTGCCGGTACAATCGTCGTCAAGGAATACCTATACCAAGCAAGTAAGTTGCCATTGGCAAATCGTTCGTTGATTTATCACATGCTGACTTGAATCTCCACAGCAATGAAAGTAGCACGAGAAAGAAAGAGCTCAGTTCTAGCCAGTAATGCGATTCATCACAGAGTTGACTCCCTCACCGGTATCGTTACCCTTTTCGCAATTCTCGGAGCAAATTTCCTACACGAGGCAGCTTGGTTGGACCCCGTTGGAGGATTCCTCATCTCATTACTCGTGATTAAGGCTGGATGGGGCAATACTATATCAGCGCTATACGAATTGGCAGATAGAGGAATCGACTCCGAGGTCAAGGAGTCTGTCACAAAAGCGGTACAAAAGAGTCTGCTCAATCTTACAGAAGGGTCAGAAGTGGAATTACGAGAAGTCGAGGGTGTTAAGTCCGGACAGAACTATCTGATAGAGCTTCAACTTGCCGTACCCAAGGGATGGACAGTTGAGGATATTAGAGAAGTAGAGGATAGTGTCAGACAAATGGTCGGCTCAAAGGTTCGAGGTGTTCGACGAGTAAAAGTACGCTTTGTACCAAGAGATGAAGCTAAACCTTCCCTTTTCGATGAGTTTATCAGTGGAGATGTGAGCCCACGAGAAAGCCCTGAACCTGAATTGAATGGACACGACCACGACCACGATCACGATCACAATGGACATGCCCACAGTCATGACACTAAGAAGACGTTATAGTCGTTATAGAAGATCGTATGAACATTCATGGTTGGAGTTTGCATGGAATTGGAGTCGGCGTTAAGGATGGGTGGTAAGACTTCATGATAAGTCTTTGCAATTACAGAGGAGCAATTTGGCGTAGGGGGGTGAAATTTCTACAAGATTGTACTCTATGCAATGTATCAAAATTTATAGAGCCATTATGATGGAAAACGATTGTCTGCTTTGATTGGTGCGCATCTAAACACCCGAACCACTTGGATTTATGGCTTTCATTCAGGCTAAATGTGGATACTATTCCAACGTCAACTTTTAATAATCCTCCCTTTCTCCATAACCCCACGATAGAGGCAGGTCTAATTCTTTGTGTATAAAATAGCCCTTTCGTTCTTTTGTTCCTCTTAGATTTTGTGATATTTAATTCATTCATTGCATTCTCCATCAGGTCAATATTTAAATCGAGATCAAAAAATCAAACATGTCTCCAAAAGATGAACCTTTATACCTAGGATTTGACCTCTCCACCCAACAACTAAAAGGTATGTCCACGTGAGCATAGTTCCCTCATTCTACCGCTCTCTAATTTTTTCCCAAGCAATTGTGGTATCATCTTCCCTCAAAGTCCGATACGAAGCTAAAGTCGACTTCGATGCCGACCTCTCCAAATATGGCATCAAAAAAGGTGTACATGTCAATGAAGTCGAAAGAGAGGTTTACGCACCGGTAGCCATGTGGCTCGAAGCTGTTGATTTAGTTCTCCAACGACTTTCGGAAAAATCTTGTCCCTTTCACTTGATCAAGGGAATTTCAGGCTCAGGTCAACAACATGGAAGTGTTTACTGGAGCCAAAAGAGTGAAGAAGTATTGGGAGCTTTGGAAACGAAAAAGAGTTTGGTAGAGCAGTTACAGGATACGTTTGCGCATCCGTGGAGTCCTAATTGGCAAGATGCGAGCACGCAAGAGGAATGTGATGCTTTTGATCGGGAGTTGGGAAGTGAGGAGAAACTAGCAGAAGTTACGGGGAGCAAAGCTCATCATGTTAGTTCTGTCCTGTTAATTCTCGCATTTTATGTCGCAGGAATTATGCGTAGCTGGATTTGCTTTGACTAACAACACTTACAGCGATTCACGGGACCACAAATCATGCGTTTTCACAAAAAGCATCCAGAGGTCTACCGCCGTACTTCTCGTATAACCCTCGTCTCTTCTTTCCTGGCATCTTTGTTCCTTGGGAGAGTTGCTCCCTTCGATATCAGTGATGTTTGTGGCATGGATCTCTGGGACATAAAATCCGGATCTTGGAGCGAGCCTCTTCTCACCCTTGCAGCTGGATCTGATGGTCTTGCTTCCTTGAAATCCAAACTTGGAGAGGTACGAGAAGATGGCGGCGGAAGCATGGGCTCTATATCCTCTTACTTCACATCTCGCTATAACTTCCCCGCTGATTGTGGAATCGTTCCTTTCACCGGTGATAATCCAGCCACAATCTTAGCTCTCCCTCTTCGCCCCATGGACGCTATCGTCTCCCTCGGAACATCCACAACCTTCCTCATGTCAACCCCCAACTACGTCCCAGACCCCGCTTACCACTTTTTTAACCACCCTACTACAGCCGGTCTCTACATGTTCATGCTCTGCTATAAGAACGGAGGTCTCGCCCGCGAAAAAATTAGAGATGCTCTCCCGGCATCCAAAACCTCAGATCCATGGTCCAACTTCAACCAAGCGGCCACAGAAACCCCACCTCTCGCTCAAAAATCTCCTTCTGATCCCGCAAAATTAGCTCTCTATTTTCCCCTCCCAGAAATTGTGCCAAACGTCCGAGCCGGTACCTTCCGCTATGAATCCTCACCAAGCAGTACACTAAATGAAGCCAAGACACCATATGATCCAGAAACAGATGCTCGTATCATTGTAGAATCACAAATCCTTTCTTTGCGTCTTCGTTCGCAGAAATTAGTTACGTCACCTTCGAAAGATATACCAGCTCAGCCTCGTCGCATCTATCTCGTAGGTGGCGGCTCGCATAATCCAGCCATTGCGAAGATTGTGGGTGAGGTGTTGGGTGGAGTGGAGGGAGTATGGAGATTGGATGTTGGAGGGAACGCGTGTGCCTTGGGCGGTGCTTACAAAGCCGTTTGGGGCGTAGAGCGAAGCGAGAAAGAAGGGGGAAAGATTGGAAGTGGCAATGAGGCAAAATGGAAAGGGGAAACTTTCGAGGAATTGATAGGAAGAAGGTGGAAAGAAGAGGGCGCTATTGAGAAGATAGATGAGGGGTATAGACCTGAGGTGTGGAAGCAATATGGGAGTGCTCTTGGAGCATTCGAGGAGATGGAGAAGGTAGTTCTGGAGGGTGAGGAAAGGTTCAAGAAGTGATATTGCTGGTGGAGTTTTGGTAGGTGATGACTGACTGATATTCGGGCATCGACTGATGTCGTTTCACATATTTTCAGCTCTGTAGTCTAACTTACTCATAATATTACAATCTATCCCCAAAAATAAACAGACTTGTATTGTAATCAGAGGATTAGCGAACTTCAAAAAAGGAGTAAAATAACATGGATAGAAATTCGAGAGCATCAGAAGACTACAAGAATCCTAACCATTGCGAAAGATGTAGAAAGTATGTGAGAGGCTACTGCAATACAAATGAGTTGACTAAGGTAGAAAGATATCGGTCATGTAGAAAAGAATAAGACTCATGACTTGGGCACCCATTCGACGTCTAAATTGGGATCAGGGGAGTTGAATGGACCTTACCCACGCAGACACATTACAATCATTCCTCATAAGAAAATGAATATTTATTATCAAAGATGTATCTGTAAAGTGTTCTGTGAGATAGAAACTAAACTAAACTACTGATACAGTACAGTATTCCACAGTAAATCGAAGATGACGCAAGAATGAATAACGGAAGATAAAATTGTTGTATGCTATAATCCCACTCAGAGTAATCACCTATACGTGGGGAAGAGGCAAGCTTGTCATGCCGCGAGTGTGGAGATGTACTCCCAGTTGACGATTCTGGTAATAGTGCCATCGTTGTTTGTTAAGATATCCCGCAGCGATGAATCAGTAGAAGGAAATATGCTGGGAACAAGGTTGAGGAGTCTTTCGGCGAGGATTTTGGCGTCTTGCGCGTCCGTCTTCGATTGTTAAGAGATTCTTTCCTGGTCGATAATTATCAAGGTGAGATGAGTATATAGCTAGTCTTTGCTGTTGGTGAATGGTCTTCGGGGTATAACTTGTGTGATGTGATCCCACTTGCTAATAATATACTGGAATATAGATTCCCCTTAACAAGTTGAGAATCTGAAGCAAAAAATATGTTATGAAGAGTAGAGGACTTGTGATGGAAAAGCTGTGCTTGATATTGTGCAATCTGTTTGGTCAGATTGTATTTGGAATCTCGGGATGACTTTCTATATTTTATTCTCAAGTTCTCATCAAATAGTAAGTATAGATATTAAATTTTAAAATCTATTCAAATTCAAGCTCATTTTCACTAGTATTATCGAACGCAAGAATTTGAGCACAAATATATCCATACTCTGGATAATGAAACTGATGATTGCTACCTCACTACTTGTTTTTTCTTCTTCACGTATAATAAAATGGCATGAGAAGTCTCGATCAATTATTCAACGAAATCATCAATCTTCATGATACGATCCGAGGTGATGTCTGCAAATCTTGAGGCTGAGGTTGAAATTCGGGCTGTGGGGTGGGGCCGAATCTGCCTATGTGGAAAACCTCTTTATATGACATTCCATTGATAGAAATCTTCAATCTTGCATAGCTAAGCAGTTCAAACTGTACAACTTTCAACCATACCATGAACTAGCTGTCCGACTACACTCAAAAACTTTGGAGTCCAAGTCTTTTGAATGTTATGTCCTGTTGGTCGGAGATCTCTATTTTCTTTCGCGTAGGCCTTTCCCAATAAGTACTATTACTGCTCCTATGTAACTTATACTAAAGTTCTAGGGATTTCTTGAACTCCTTAAGAAACTGGATCTTGGACAGATAACTAGTCTGGGATCTACCTGTGGCAGGTTTCACTATTTGGATTGTGGAGTATGTAGGATGCGGCTGCGCAAGAGACATGGACGGGCGAAGTGTAATTCACCGTTGATCTCGGGGTTGAAAGAGTGTCAGCTGGAAAGGTCTGAAGGGAATCTATCTTTTGACTTTCAAGCTATTTGGAATGACTGTTGCTGCTAAAAAGCCAAATTGAAGATTAAATAGGCGGTGACGAGGGAGCAGGGACGCAAAATTGAAAGACTGCAGCACCCGAGGTATCCAGTAACACGATTAATAAGAACTTTCAGAGGACTCTCCATAAAGATAAAATTGGATTGCGAGTAGCTCCGAAACAGAGAGTTCATAAGAAGAGATTAGAAATTGCTTTTGAGGTGTTGAGCTTGGAAGCTTCGTTGATGAATTCATAAAGACAATTGTTCGGGTGAGTGAAATGAAAGACATGGGGGAGCTCATGGGGCCCCGCAATGGTTCATCGTCAGAGCCAAAGTTATGCAATGTGAGGCTCGTCGAAAAGGATTATAATTAGGTATCAGAGTAGACGGTACAGTTCATACAGTACATACATAGTACATCGGAGGTTCATAGCCGAAGTTGCATTAGATTGCATTTATCCAGCTTTTAACGGTATGAACAGGTCCTCATCATCTGCAACATTCAAGCCACGAGGGCGTGATCTCCAGTGCACGACTCAGGCTCCGCCGTGGAGACTCTGGTTGCATGAAAATGGAGACTTCCACGATGGCTTATGAAATGACACACTTTGTCTTGTTCTGATTCAATTTGCGGACTTTCGCAGAATACGATACCGGTACTCGAGCATGTCATGAATGAAGACGAGGTAAACATCCACATCCACATCCACATTCACATTCACATTCACATTCATTGCTGTTACATTTCCCGAGAATTCAAGAATTGAAATGGGGTCTTGCCGATCAAATACGTATCCTTCACAACTTCCTTTCAAGGTT